ATATATTTCCACTTGTACAGGTTTCTTTTTTTTTTTTTTTTTAAACACTTTGTGTGGTGGCTGGATTTTCCTGGAGCGTATCAGAAAGGCTCAGTGGGTTTCCTGGGTTTGAAACTCAGGACAGTGAAGTCCATAATAAAGGTCCATATATAAAGGGGGCTTCTGGAGGTCCACCTCTGACAGGCCCATCTGAAGAGGTCCTTCCTTAGCTGGTCCCACCTCTCACTTGGCTGCTTGCTCACCCTCACCAGGTCTCTGCTCCCTTCTTTGGGTTCCTTCTCTCAGGGACCATGGTGCTGGCTGAGGTCATCTGTGCTCTCCCACCGCAGACCCCACTGTGTCCACTGATGGCTCCTCTGCTGGCCTCTGACTGGCATCTGTGGGTTTTGCTCTCCTGAGCACTGTGCAGTGAGTAACAGGGGATGTTGTCCTGGGTAGTTCTCAAAGAATGTGGGGTGGTCTCTGCTGCCCTACTGTTTTATTAATTTAGCTTTTTTCCTTAGCATCTCTGAGGGTGACTGTGATAATCACAATGAGCCTGCCTTTCAGAATGAAGTGAGAATTCCTGGATGCTGCCCTTTGGTTTCAGATTTGGTTTTCTGTCTTTTATTTATTTGGTCATTTTGAGACAGGGTCTTGCTATGTATCCCTGGCTGGCTGGCCCTGGATCTTGCTGTGTAGTCCAAGCTGGCCTCAAACCTGTGGCAATCTTCCTGCCTCAGTTTCTCAAGTGCTAGAATTATAGGCATGTACCATTACAAATGGCTTTGGTTTATCTTTTGGAAGATAGGATCTTGCTACTGTAGCCCAGGCTGGCCCTCCCAGGGTAATCCTGCTTCAACTTCCTGAGTGCTAAGATTATAGCCTGTACTACCATACCTGGCTACCTTTCAGATTTAAATGGAAGTTTTTCTTACCTAGATTAGCAGACGTGTGGAATGTGGTTAAGAATGAGAAAGAATAGCTGGGTATGGTGGCCCACCTTTAGTCCGAGCACTCAGGAGGCAAAGGTAGGTGGATCTCTGTGAGCCTGGTCTACATAGTGAGTTCCAGGCCAGCTGGGACTACAGGGAGTCCCTGTCTCAAAAAAAAAAAAAGAAGGAAATAGTGCTGACTCAGGACTCATAGCAGGAGGTACCCAGCACATTGAACACCATAGGAGGAAGGCACCCCAAGCACTGCAGTACGTTTTGTCATGCTGCATGAATCAGTGTCCAGATTTAAAACACTTAGCCAGTAAGATGACTCAGTAGGTAAAGGCACTTGCTGCCAAGCCTCACAACCTAAGTCCAATCCTTGAGACCTACATGGTTGAGGGAAAAAGTGACTCCTGCAGGTTGTCCTCTGACCTCCACATGCATACTAGGGCATGTGTCCCCTCCACTCACACATACAAATAAATTGTAAAAAAATTCAAAGGCAATTTATGGCAAAGATTTGGGGGCTGGAGAGTTGGCTCAGTGGTTAGAGCACTTGCTGCTCTTACAGAGGACTGAAGTTCAATTCCCAGCATTTATGTTGGGTGGCTCACAACTGCCTGTAACTCTAGTTCCAAGGAATCAGGTGTCTTCTGGCCTTCACAGGCACACACACACACAATCTTACAAAACCTCCAAACCAGATTAGAACACAGCTCATTCTTTAGGCAGCAGGCAAAGGTGGTGTTTGTTTTACTAGGGCTGCTGCCCTAATTTGTTTTACTGGTATCCCCTACATCCTGCAGACTTGCCTGTGGACAGGGACCCTGTATGCTGAAGGCTCACTTGTGGACAGCATCCCCAACATGCTGCAGAGAGAGCTCCATACCATGTAGCTGGGGACAGTGATACATCCCACGCACAGCATGCTAAGATGAACTTTATTTTTACATTACTATATAACTCACTTGAAAGCTTAATTTAAAAAAAAGAAAAAAGAAAAAAGGAAACCCTACAACTTCACTGCTGTTGCAGGAAAGCCCTCTGTGATGTTACCAGCTGCCTCTACTAAGGTATTCTGTCACCAGGTCTACAGATGACTAGAAGAGCTCGTATCCCAAGTGGGGGGCCCCAAGTATCAGCTAACAACAAGACAGGGAGGTTCAGGTGTCAGGGACTTTGACTCCTCCTATCTCTCCCTTAGACAGGGACCACAGTGCCTCAGTGTCATAGCTTTGTGACAGGAACACAGGATGCCAATGCACTTGTACCTTGTGTTTTCCAAGCTGGCTCTGTGCCATGACTCCAGGCCCAGCCACACCCTTTGAAGACAGTTCCCCGTTTGTAAATGACACGGGCCTGTGAGGTCTCCTCACCCTGATCTGATGCCCTACAGGATTGGGAACCCAGAAAAATACTGAGTATGCTCAGAAGCCTTGTCCCTAGGCCTGAGTACTGTCTATCCTCAGCATGGCTCTAGGACTTGGAGGACAGTGGTAGAGCCCAGAGCCCTGGGCAGCCAGAGGAGCACAGGAGGTAGTGGAGAGGGAGGTCCCACCCTGCTGGACAGGCTGGTCCTACCTGGGGGTTTGTTCCTGAGTGATGTCTTTTTGAAGACAGCAATTCTGTATCAAACAACCACATCTCTTTTGGAACAGTCTCAAGCTTACAATTTGACTTACCATGGGCTCAGAAGAGGGTGAAGAAAAGCTGACATGTTTAATATGTTATCACTTTACTGCAATTATTTGTCAACAGTAACACTGGTGTAGTCTGCACGTGTACAATACAGAGAGCACAGCCTCACATGACTGGCACCAGGTGACATGCAGTACAGTTCCATCTTCCTCCTCAGAATGGTGTCCTTCAGCTGAGGACATGGCAGAGCCTGACTGGTGAGGAAAAGCAAGGGACTCAGGGAACAGAGAAGCTGGAAGCTCCTCACCAGCCCAGCCTGGCCCCACTCACACATACCATGCTTATCAATGCTCTTTCTGAACAGATGACAGAGAAAGAAGTGCCATGCCGACAGGATGGGGCAGGCAGGTGGAGTTGCTGGCAAGACAGATGGCTGACCTCCATTTTGCAGGATTTGCTCTCTGCAGAAATTCAAAGTGCTCAGTTTGCAGATCTGCTGGTACGTGACCTCGACGACATGACGGGGATGAAGAGGGAAATGGGTGGCCCCACAGGGTGGTGGGGTGATGACAGGCCATAGTGGGCTCCGGGGTCTCTTGTGGCTGGGCAGACCCGCTGGCTCACACGGTCCCAGGTGCAGCCTGTGGTGGCAGCTCCTCCCTTTGTGAAAGGGCCTCCGCCCAGGCAGGGGCCACAGGCAGTCCTCGGGTCCTAGGCTTAGGAGCACAGCACTGGAGGCTGCAGTGGCTCGAAGGGCTGAAACTGCAAAGTACAGCCCATGGGTGACTCAGGCACAGGGACATGGGCAGCATGTGACTCCAGGGAAGTGCATGGTCACACAGAGAAGCAACAAGAACACAGCTGGGGCATGTGGGGCCTGGCAGCTCACTGCACCATGAGAGGCAGTGGGGGCTTCGCTTGGCCAGGGCTGGGCACTCGTTGGCCAGGCGTGGTAATGACACGGGGGTCACGAGCACATGGCTGCATGGAATTACGGTGATCACTGTTGCCACTCAGAACACAACACGGGACACACACACCGCCCTGGGCTGCCCAGCGCTCACGCCACCTGCCTGCTGGGGGCTGGGGACTAGATGAGGGAGTTATGGCGTTGGGTGGACGAGGATGAGAGCGATCGTTGTGTTGGGGATGGGCTCCTCTGCCACGTGGGTCCTTGGAGAACTGGGGTGAGTGTGGTTTGCCATGTGTAGAGGGAAGGAATGTGGAGCATAAGGGTTCACAGTTATGGCAGCCAGTATAAAGTGTCTAAAGGTCTGTGGGGCCAAGGTCCTGAGACAGCCAGCTCAGAGCTGGGTGTCCCAAGTGCTACGGTACAGGTGACTGCGCTTAGCCTAGTTGCTTACCTGAAATAACCGCAGTTATAATACTGGTTACTTAGGGTAGTACTCTGTTAATAAAATAGGGATCTATACAAAGCAGGACGGTCAGGTTCTATGTACTTGGCACAGTGAGTAATGAGTGCGTAAGGTTTCAGCCAGGCTAGAGGGAGTCTCTTTGTATGAAAATATGGAAGGATTGGAATTTGTTCTAGTGGGGGGGGTGGGTTCTGGTCTACTCTCACACACTCGTCTAGACTGATTTCCTATCACGTAAGTGGAGGTCCTTGGGAGGTTGCTATTGTTAGCTGTGTGGATGAAATGCTTGTCTTTCACACACAAACACTACCTATACAGTATGTATATATA